CATCCTGAATACAAAGTTTCGTAAACGCGACTCCCATCTCATCACCTTCTACAGCGGGAGTTCCAAAACACAAATAGACTTTGTTCTCATCAGGCATGGCGATCAAGGACTCGTCACAGACGCTAAGGTCGTGCCGTACGAGACAGTTGCCCCCCAACACCGCCCGCTGATCTGCACGCTGAAATTTACAGCACCCAGATCGAAAAACACTGAGCGGTGTGCCCTCGAGAGGATTAAGTGGTGGCGACTGAAAGAGCGGGAGGAAGCCGTGATTTCTCGCATCCGATTACCTGAGATCACGACTGTCGAAGAAACCTGGAACAAAGCCGTTGAATCGGTAATTCAGGCCGCTCGTTCAGAACTCGGCATGACCAAGCCTGGGCGGCGTAGGATTGACAAGCAGCCCTGGCTTTGGACTGACGACGTCCAGGCGAAGGTTCGAGCGAAGAAGGAACTTTACCACGTGTTTCTTGGGAACAAGACGGCTGACAACTGGCGGAAGTACCAGGAAGCGAGGGCTGCGGCAAAGAAGGCGGTCGCCGTAGTTAAGGCCTCTCATTTCGACAATATCAGCAAGAAACTCGAGACGCGCGACGGTGAGCGGCACTTGTACCGACTTGCCAAATCTCGTCACGCCAAACCGAAGACATAGAAAAGTTTTTTGGCATCAATGACGAGGATGGCCATCTTCTGATGAACCGAAAGAGGGTATTGCAGCGATGGCACGACTATTTCGAGAAAATCTCGACAAAGGAATTCACCCATCCGCTTATCCAATATACGGCGCCCCTCCGGAAGATTTCCGTTGAGGAAACAGAAGCGGCTCTGAAGAAGATGAAGGCAGGTAAAGCTACAGGCCCGGACGACTTAGCAGCGGACTTATGGAAGTCTAAGCACTGGTACTCCGCAGAATGGTTGACCAAGCTTTTCAACCAGATCATCGCAGAGAAGAAGGTGCCCAAGGACTGGTTGCAAAGCACGACAGTTCCGATTTGGAAGAAGAAGGGCAGTCCAGCAGATTGCTCGAACTACCGTCCGATTCGCCTTCTCTCGCACAACTATGAAAATCTTTGAGCGAGTTGTTGATGGCCGTATTCGTGACATAGTCCAGCTCTCTGCCAACCAGTGTGGCTTCGTAACTGGCTGTAGCACCATCGACGCCATTCACGCTGCCCGCCTTTTGCTTGAGAAACATCGTGAGAAGCAAAAGCCTGTGCATGTAGCCTTTCTAGATCTGGAAAAGGCATTTGATCGCGTGCCGCGAGACGTTATATGGTACGCCTTGCGACAACACGGTGTCCCTGAAGAGCTAATCGAGTGGGTCCGTATCCTTTATTTAAAGCCAGAGAGTCAAGTGCGGACTCTTGCAGGCACTTCGATGGAGTTCCCCATCACCGTAGGGGTGCACCAAGGCTCCGCTCTCTCCCCACTCCTTTTTGTTGTCGTCATGGATGCCATCACACGAGACCTTCAGAAGGAAATTCCTTGGACGCTCCTTTATGCCGATGATGTGATGCTTGCATGCGAAGACAAGACCACACTACAGCAACAAGTGCAAGCTTGGGCTGATCGCCTGGCAAAGTTTGGTCTCAGGTTAAACGTGAATAAGACCGAGTACCTGACAACCGACCCAGCCGAGGCGGGCTCCATCAAAATCAATGGCACTGAGCTCACGCGTACAAAAACATTCAAGTATCTGGGATCAGCAATTACGTCCGATGGAGATCTCAAAGCGGAGGTGAGCGCACGGGTGAGTGCAGCGTGGGCAAAATGGCGATGCATGTCGGGGATCCTCTGCGACAGGAAGATGCCAGAACGGCTAAAGTCGAAGATCTACAGAAGTGTCGTTCGACCAGTCGCCCTATATGGCGCCGAGTGCTGGCCCGCTACCAAAGAAGTCGAAGCCCGTCTAAGTGTGATGGAGACGAGAATGTTGCGTTGGACTGCGGGTGTCACGCGTTTGGACCGCATTTGTAACGAGGTAATACGCAAGAAGTTCGGCATAGCTCCTATAGCTGACAAAATGCGAGAAACGCGCCTTCGATGGTACGGTCATGTACTTCGGGCAAAGGCTGACACCGTCTGTAGGGCTGGCCTTCAGCTTGAGGTGGCCGGAAAGCGACCTAGGGGCCGTCCCAGACAGCGCTGGCTCGATACGTTGCATACAGACTTGAAAATAGCTGGAATTCACTCCGATCAGGCATTTGATCGGAAAAAGTGGCGTCATCACATTAGAACAGAAGGCGACCCCCAGCTGAGCGGGACATAACGCTAAAGCAAGAAAGAAGTAAAGAAGAGGCACAAAGGTAAGAATGCGATCGACGCGGCAAAGCCGTTTTTTTTTTTTTATTTTCTCTTCTCATCTCCCGCCGTCCCCCTCCTCCGGGCCTACGCCCCTCCCCTGTTTACGACGCAGTAGTAGTTATTCAGAGAATAGACCGCTCCTTCCGCTCAGTACGTTTTGTGGGAGAAGTCATATGTTGAATGATGTTCCCCAGCACTAGGATGCCTGGGTCTCGAACCGTTCGCCGGACACCTGCAACCGCTAAGTTCGCGCACAGCGGCTGCAACCGCCTAGACGTCGGCCTTGGTTTTTTTTAACAAGATCCTGAAGGAAATAATATGAGGCTGTTCTTTCATTATAGTATTTTTGTATGGTGCAGATCAAGGTTTGATATTGGTCACAAACTTACCCCATAGTTCACATTAATCTGAGTTAAAATCGTAGCACTGATCGCGTGAGCGGGAACACTTATCCACTGTTTTCCCTCTGACGCGCCACACCATCTAACAAGGGAAGGATGGTAGGTCGAAGTGCCCATTTGAAATGGAAATGTATACCGGCTGAAAAGGTCTTCGGACGGGAATTACGAAACCGTGTTCCATATCTGCTCGGCCCGTCCGAGAAAGAAGTTACGGGAGAATACTCACTACAAATTGGGCGGCGTAAGGCTATCGAGATCTGATAATGTCGTGATGTAATGATTCTGAACTGATGGAGCCATTGCGAACGATTTCATGGAGATCACCTCCGGCTGAAAAGATTGTCATACGAGCCGAAAACTTCCAGCAGATACGAAAACTCTTTGAGATAGACATAATTCAACATTATGCCACTGGTGAATGAAGCTCTTGCCCATCGCGATCTCCAGCATGATTGCCACATCAACGCCACTTCATATGGAAGCATTTTCCCCACTATAATCATCTTCCTGCACAACTTCGGATTCGTTTTCCGGTCATGTCGTTTGGAGAATAAATTCATTTGAAGGCAAAATCTTTCTTTGGAGTGCACTTTTGTTGTATATGCTCTTCAAATCAAAGAAAGAAGACAACAGCCAAAGTGATTTTCAAATCAAGAAAGAAGACAACAGCCAAAGTGACTTCTATTGAATGGTTCGCAATGGCTCCATCAGTTCAGAATCATTACATCACGACGTTATCATGGACAAGTGTTATGCAAAATGGCTTTGAAGTGCACAGGGGCCACTTTCGAAAAAATGCAAAAGAGCACACGCATCAAGGATTCAAACCCTCGACCACGCATAGGAACCGGTGAGCCCGTAGACGTATCCACTGGCGCATACAGCCACGATCTCGATAGCCTTACGCCGCCAATTTGTAGTGATTCTCCCCCAAAAAAGCTCCGTAACTTCTTTCTGGGAGGTCCGCAGCAGATATGGAACACGGTTTCGTAATTCCCGTCCGAAGACCTTTCAGCCGGTATACATTTCATTTCAAATGGCCACTTCGACCTACCATCCTTCCCTTGTAAGACGATTTGAGAGTGGAGAGCAATGTGAAGAGCGTAATTGATATCTTCTCTGCCTATGTCTTCGCTACGCGAAACAAAGCATCAAATCATGAGCTCATAATTTGCTTCCCCGCTAAAATGCACGTAGAGACAGAAAGTAAACGGTAGTGAAGCAAAAAAGGCGAAACGACCGAATACGAGCTAGGCTTTTCCCTAGTAGGAGTGGTCGGGATACAAACTATGTTAAAGGTCAGTTGGGCGACGATATTTAGTATTCGGGGCCTAAAATGCTGCAGGCGCTATATAGTGGGGAAAGAGGAACGGAGTAAACCGGTCACAAGAAAAACGCCTTCGTCTCTATGACCTGTAAATTAGTTTCGGACGAAGTTTTCGCGGCGTAGGCTTCTTACCATAACCGCTGGCAAGGATCGGCTGCATGTGTGCACCTCTATATCGCATGCAGGCACCCACGGCCGCTTCATACAAATCCTTCGCTTCATAATTTTGCGTAGTAAATGAATTGCAATTACAAGCGGTCAAAGAAAGGTCGCCCCTTTTGTGGGCAGGGCGGCATGATGGGCGTTCGGTCAGTATGTGTGGCTTGATAGGGCCCTTATAAGGACCCTTCTTGATAAAGACTCTGCGCAGCTCCTCCGATCAAGAAGCGCGGGATTGCGTCTGCAGGCGTATTTAATCCTACTTGTGTTTTAGAGATTTATCGTGCCAGGCTGCCTTTCGTATGAACAAAGGTCACGGAGAGTTCAGCACTGGCATCAACAACCGACGGTCAAGTCGCCCGTGGAAAGCACATTTTTTAAATCCAAACATTTATTAGTTTTTTGAACAGCAGGAATTTGAACAACGAAAATTACTTCCAAAGCATTTTCGAGCTAATCTTGAGAACACGGATTGAATCACACTCAATATACAAACATAATTTTCCTAATAGCCAAACGACTTTCTTGGAAAGCTAGTGTTTTTTTTTCGGGGTTGCTATTTATACAATTACAAATTTATTTCTGAATGGTAAGCATTTGTAGGGGTTACTACCTTGTTCGCTTTTGCACCCCTCAAAATATCAAAACCGACCAGAACACAGAAGCTTTTAGCATAAAAGCACGTCCGTCCACAGGTACCAGAAAAGGCTACTTGAAGAAATTTGATTTGTGAACATCTAATTATATATTGAAAGAAATCTACAACAATCATTAAACTCATTGTTTCGACAAGAACTTCCAGAAGCGGATCAGTGCTGGAAATAGTCTGACTTGGGGGTAGGCCTTGAACGATTGCACCTTGGCCTTTCCTTAGGCTTTGGGAACTGGGACCAACATTTGACCACGGCTACGTCACAATCACATAACGCTTTTTTGCAAGGATGATTATCTGAAAGAGCGTTATTCAGAGGGTATAGCAGTGGTACTGTAGTCGCACTAACCGTGACAAGTAGCAGTACTGTTGGTGCACTTCCAGCTATAGTTGTCTATGTACTCCCATGCCACATCGAAGCATAATTTATTATCGACTGCAGCATCGTAGCACTTGTCGTGTTGCATGCAGCACCTGCGAGAAATGAAGTTGCCCTATTTTGTGCGCTGTAGAGCTCATTTATACTCTGTATCACATGAAAGGGGTCGTGACTGCGGACGCGTAAAGACGGTCTCGAGAATTTCTGCTCCTTCCTAATAGTATTCGACTTCGTCAAGCTTCACTTTGGTTAGTTGAGCGTCATAACTTCGAATGCAAACGACGGATCCTTTCGTTGGCGGAAACTACTAATTCTTTCCAAATCCAGTATCACGCGCGTCCTACGCAATTACGACCCATCTACCTTCAAGATACAGAGTATACCCATGGTCATGACAACGCGCAGCTACGGTCGTTTCCGCTGTAGACGCTGGGGAGTGTCCGTAATTGCCGTGACGCCAGTGCGTTTCCCTTCTTTTATCGGTTGCCTGCCTAAACAATTTGGGAAAAGGGGCTGGCGCCAAGCCAAACATAGTTTTGACAATGCTTCCAGCATCTGAAGGCGGCACGAGACTGTATAACAACAAATGAAGTTTCCTGGACCCTTCAAGGCGTTTTCGTTCAGCAGGTCGTCAATCCGAAATGAACCCGAGGGAATGCCTGTCATCATTAGCTTTGAGCCCCTGAGTAGGACTGCCTCCAACAGCCAGCTTCCAGGTGGCCTGTACGATTTCACTGGTTACAGTAAGTGGCAAGGCACATTATTGGTTGGGATTTTGGTTGAGTCCGTACGACCCCATCTCTTCTCTTTTCTATTCCTTAGATTCTTTCCTAACTTTTGGGCCTCACTTTTCCAAGATTTCCGCAAATTACTCTACTTCCCCCTAAACGTACATTAAGCGAGGAAAACAACTATCAAAATAAATTTTTCTCAGCCCATATACGGTCCCTCTCTCCCGGCGACAAAATACGACCCCCTGATGGGGATTCCCCAACAACGTTGTGCTCTGGTAAGTGGTCTTCCTGCATTTGAATCAGTGGAGTGGAGGAAACTACGTCTGTAGTCATAATTGCATCGGTCCGTTCAGTCTCTGAAGAAGGCGTTTCCACCGAAGAGTACTGAGAAGATCTACTAACCTCGCGAGTGTTCAGCAAAGAAGACCTTGACTATCACTAAGCCGGGTTTGTTGAAATCTCTATCTGGCTAGAATGGAATTTGTTCACTGTCACCTTCAGTGCACTGAACTATGTACTTTGGTAAGTAGGATATCACGGACCTTACCTCCCCCCACGCTTACTACTTGATAACGCATCCCTACGTGATAATTGTGGAAAATAGATTTTCCTGAGTCACGCGGTCGGGTACACTAATCACCTGCCAGAGTACGGAACTGGGAATAAGCGGAGTGACGCTCTCCCATGACGCAGTGGTTCCTCTAGTGCATGCGCCAGCGTCATAATGCGAAGCACCCACGAAATGGCATCACATGAATGTGCAGTGCCTAGAAGCCTCTCTTACCTAACTTCCAACCCAAAAGAGTTAAGCATCCACGATTTTCATAGAATAAACATGAAGACGTCCGAGGGGAATCTTTTGTTGGGAACACTTTGTTTTCAACAATTGAGTAAGACCTCATACCTGTCAATACCATCAACAGGCTCGTGAGATCCTCCAACACCACACCAACATCCATAGTTGTTGTAGCACTGCAAATATTGCAATGCTTTTGACATTGTTATTGGTTTATATATACAAAAGTCAAACTGGATAAACAGAATATTATATATTGCCATCGATTTTGTCGATTCTATCTTTCTCAAACAATTTGCAGCTAACATTGAAAAGAAAACCTGCAACACTTCAAAATAACCCCTCGCTGATGGTGCCTTGATAGGGGCACAGCCCGAGGCTGCGTTCGAAATTCGCGATTCCCGGAATCGCGCAACTGCCTCTTGCCATGCTCCACAGCTGATCATTGGACTGTTGCAACGGCTACTTTAAGAGCACAAAACGTTTTTCGAATTTTGCAGTGGCTCAAGGGGTAGAGCTCGATCAGTCGCAGTCGCGTTACAGAACTGTTCAAGTTGCAAAGTATGAGAGGCGCTCTATTCACCCGTGGGTTGACCGCAGCTTTGGATTGCGCTCACTGAAGAGCATGTGGGAGATTTCGGTTATCGGAAAAGATGATTTGCGATGGACATCACCTAGGTTGCGCCAGCCTTCTTGGGTGGTGGAACTTCATTTTTCTGGACAAGGGGTCCAGCGTGATAGGGTAATCAGAGCGGGGTTCCCAGCGTAACGGTCCCTGAAGCAGCAAGGTCGCCTGTAGAGCCAGGAGCATATGTATGTGGAAAAAGTTTCAAGGCGTGGTTTGCGATACCGTAAAGGAATGCAGATAAATACTGATGCAACAGCGGTGATTACTATAGTCTCTTCTGACTGTCTTGCGCGTCCTTTGAGCGCGGTTCGCCCAGAAAGAACTCATGACGTCATAATCCGCGACAACGCACGTCCCCCAGTGGCTGAGACAACATGTTATAAGAAAAATTTCTGAACTGGATGGGATGGGAAGCCTTCATACCAACTCTAGCAGCTCCTGATTACCACCTATTCGTGGCACTAATACACACTACCAGGAGGAAAAATAAACAAGGAAGCATAAGAGAGGCGGCAGTCTTAGGACGCGGTCGGGAAGCTCGAGATCAAAACCTTGGGAGAATTTCGGTCGAAGACGACTAAGTTGAGGCCAGTTGGCCATAAGTTTTTCGAGAGGTAGGGGATTAGAAGTGGGGTGGCGAACACCCGGAATGGGGAGGATATGGCCCGCAACACTTGAACATGGCGCAGATTTTTTCGTGGTATATACACTTTCAAGACAATTGTCCATATTCTTTGTGCTGAATTGGGATTACATGTCTACAGTTGTCCCAACATCTTCCAGAAGCACAGTTGACGCCATGTTCAAACGAAGCACGCAGCCACGTCCCCTCCCTTTCTCGGGATATAGAGTGCCGAGTTTGCGTGGAAGCCTGGCATCAATAAACGAATCCCAGGAGGATGACAAATTTGGTTTATATGACTGGGATCTGCTCTAGACAGCTGAGATGAGTGCTTCCAACACTGACTTGGTTTCTTCCAAAGAGTCGCATCTGGGGACTGAAAGAAACACTTCGAGGCTACTCCTTCAAACTATCAGATGTTGAGGAGGTGGGTTGGGACTGGTACACAAAACAGCAAGCGCATGATGGATCTAGGACCGTTTCCCGAGATTTCCAAGAGCGTTCGCCCACAGTTCCACAATGATATCTGCCCTTCGATTTTATAAGTCTAATAATTGAAAAAAATAAATTATAGGAGTTTCGAATAAAGAACACACCAGAGGGTTATAGTGCAGAACACATTCGGCAACTTCTCCAAGATTCCACAACGCACCAACCATGGGTTTCGGCTTCTGAGGAGGAACAGATACCGAACTGGACAGTGCAATCAGAGCGAGAACGATAAGAGGGCCGATACATCATTCAACCACAAGTTATCTACAAAGAGGACCCTTATATAGAACCGTCAACGCAAGATAAGCTTCCCTTCAATCTTCCGAAATTATGAGTGACACGGTAGGGACCCGATTCTCTTGAAAAAATGAGATGGCACTGGTATTTGTGAGAGCTGATGATGCAGCCCTATTGTAATAGGAATGATAAGAACGACAAGTGCAAGCTGTCATTTTGTTGCCAGTCATTAAAAATAGCTCATAAAAAGCTGAGCAAAAAACGAACGACGTGAGTCGTGTTATATGGCTTTATTGACGAGATGGGGTGGTTTCGGCAGTCACGGTAGAATATAATACAGATGGGAAGGGTGTCTTTTGGTAGGAGGTAGGTGTGGATCGAGACTGGATGGTCTCGTTGGTGGAGGTATAGAATCTGACTGTATCTAGGCAAGCCTTCTCATCCAGGCGAGGTCACGCACTGAGTATCTAATGGAATACCTACGGGTCACAATCAGAGGTCTAAATGATAACAGTGGACTATGTGAAACAATCAGATTTCCATTTAAGGATGTACCAGCATGTTCTGGTGGCAATCCAGACCACGACGGTAGGCAGATCGGGCACGCTGTGCTCGAAAAACCCGCCGTAGTAAGGGTGGTGTTTGAGTCGGTGGGGGGGGGGACAGGAAACCCTGATCAGCTAGCCGACTTTGTAAGCGGCTCTATGATGAAAAGGTGCTTTGAGCCAGAACACTGATCTCACGCCTCTCTCGATTGACGACGTTTTTCAAGAGAAAACGGGCAAAAGTACCTCGAAGAAGCAAGAACATGAGGTTCTGGGGTCGGGGGGGGGGGGGAGTGCGAGGTCATGCTCATCGCTGGGGCTGTGGTCGTGCTGAGCGATCAATTTTCACGCCTTTTTTCGAGGCAGGAACCGGGGCTCACAAGCTGCGATTACAAGGAAGAGCCGAAGACGAACAGCTGCTGTTAACGTAGAATGATGTCGGATTTTACTGCCTGTAAGATGCATTTGTAAGATTCCCATAGGGTTCTTGACACGGCAAAGTATGCTATAAGCAAGGCCCAGGTACGTTGGCAAGCTCGTGAAGGTTAAGGCTATGGTTGTGCAGGTGGAGCGCAGCCAATCCTGATGGGATTCTCCAGACTTTCGAAAAAATTCCCAGTCCTTTCATCATTCGTGATCTTAAGGACTAATTTTGCTGCTTGCAGATGCTTTCCATCGGTTGATGGTACACACACCGTAATAACGGTCTACTCAAAGTTTTCGAAACTACCGATCGAGGGCATGACATGATGTCGAAGGAAAATCTCCCGTTCCGCGAGACTGTCCTAGCACCCCTTCCTTTTGTCTCACCCCACACGCGCACTACTACATCTCCACAGGTGCCTCTGATCTGACTCCTTTCAGCCTGAACACTCAAGTTCACCCGTTTCGTTGACTTTCTATCCCTTCAAGCAACCCAAGGGAAAATGGTCGTCTTGTTGATAGGGGAAGGGACAGTATACTCTGCACCAGAGACATTATAAATGGCTAATCATTCTGGAAATCTTTTCAGTATTTTTGTCTAAATGCTGACCTCTCTCAGGAATCCCCATAAAACACCCCTCTCCAGAGCAGTCGGAAAACGACTCCCACGTAAAATGTTCTTTGACCACTCTTACTACTGTGTGGCTATACTTTTGCTGATAGTAACTGTACTAAGTATAAGGATTGTCGAACGAAAGGGTAGGCGTAAAGGGTGAATGGAATGGTATTGAAAACCTTATCATTGCCCAGCCTGAGATAGCAAACATGGAGCAAGTTCCA